TTCTTTCAGAGTAATTTGATTAAGATAAAGTAGTTTGAGTCTATATTCTCACCCTATCCCACAACTTGAACTATGGGAATAATTGGCTCAATTCTTCACCATGCCTCAGTTATCCTCATCTAGAAGAGTTCTACCAAACTCCCAACACACAAAGGAGATTACTGCACTTGGTGATAAACTTGGGGGGCGGGCGGGGGGGACAGGAAGTGGCCTGCCCTAGGGATGACAGTGGGAATGGAGGCTTCAAAACCTTAATCTCATGGCCACAAGTGGCCCTGACCCCAAAGGATACTTTAAGGCCTCCCCCTCAGCATTCCCCGTTATCCATCCGGCCCCACTCTAGGGCTGAAGCACTCAGTTCCCACCATCTCAGAGTGGGGTGGAACAGCAGGACATTTTGTTTCCCAGAAAATGCTCAGGTCAAATTTCAAGGACAAAAGTTAGCACTTGGTCTGGGAAAGAAAATTCTGCCAAACGGAGTAAATGCAGAATGGCAGGGTGGGGTGGGGGGGTGGTGGCAGAAACTGGAGCTCTGATTCCTCCTGCCAGGATCTGTCTGGCAGGATATGACTATCTCCCACCCTCCCCCACCCCAACCAGGAGTAATTCAGACAGCCCCCTCTGTTTCCTTTCTGTCCGAAAAAGAAGGGGAATGGGCTTTGGTACTAGTTTGTGGGACCCATCCACCATGCTTCCCCCCCACACACACGAGATTTGGCCTAAGCCATGAAGGCTCAGGGAGGTGCCGTGAAGGGCTTTCCAGCCCAGAGATGTGGCCCTAACCACTAGAAGAGGGACGGGTAGCCAGCCTGTGTTGCCATGGCAACTTCCTCCCTGCGCTGGATCGAAGCATCCTATGGGCAAATCAGAGCTGGCTGCTCTAGCTTCTCCGCCCTTCTCCCGGGCGGGGGAGAACTGGATGCCAAAACCAGTTCTTGGTCAGTCTCAGGGACACCATCCTCAATTTCAGACCCTGATGTAACAAACCCCATTGGCATTTGCTGGAAACTGGAGACACTTTTGCTCCCGAGCTGAGACCCAAGGCAGAGTGGCGGGGCTGGGAGTGTAGATGTGATAAAAATTAACTCCCAGGAAGCACAGGGAAATGCGGAGCTGGGTTGCTCTCTGCCCTCTTGTTCCTCAAGCGAGTACCCCAAATCCCCATCTTTAAACCACTTCCAAGAAGGAAGGCCCAACTCTGCCTTAATAGTTCTAACAATGCTATAAAATTAGCTTATTAAAAATTATAAAAGCTAACATTGAGAATCAGGTTTTCCCCCATCTCCAAACCCACAGATTCTTTTTCACGGTCATGCTCAGAAACAAGTCTTACTTGGTAATAAGACAGATAATAGTTAACAGGTATTGCGAGCCTACCTGGTGCCAGGTACTGTACTACGCCTTTTGAGTAGCACAATAAGCATTATAGTCAAAAGCACAGATGCTTAAGTCGGATCGCTCAAGTGCAAATCCTAACTCTCACACTTCCTGGTTGAATGACCTTGAACAAATACTCTCTCTGTGCCTCGATTTTCTCATCTGAAAATGGGGATGTTAAATGTTAATTTTATAGGGTTGCTATGAAGAAAGAATTAAAATAATATATTTACAGTGCCTTAGGAGGATGCTTAGGCAAGGAAATATTTTTAAAATGTTGACACTGTGAGGTCCATGCTATTATTTTCTTCTTCATACAGATGAGAAAACCAAGGACACATGTCTAATTCCTCCCCACGCCCCCCTTCCCAATTACAAACGCAGTGCCAGCAAGGTTGAGTGATGAAGATACAGACACAAAAATGCCCCCAAGTTCAGGCCTCTCTAAAACCCCAGCATCTTTGTGAAAAGGGGCAAAAGCAGCAGAAGAAAGGAGTTCTGAGTGCTCAAAGGAAGGTGCTACTTGAGAGAAATTCTAGGGGCCTGCAATGACCAGCATCCTGAGCCCCAACATGGCTAGAAAGGGGTGGGAGGAAGGGGAAGCTCCCTTTGCCCACAAAATGTCCAAACCTCCCAAGCCCAAGACAGGAAAGTGCTCTGGCCCAGTTAAAGCTAACAAAATAGACCCCTCCTCACAGGGTTTCTCAGGAAATCTGCTGACGGGTAGCATGTAAGCCATGAAGATGGCTCTGGCTCGAACTGGTTGATGGAAAAGATGCATTTGACAGGAGAGGAGATGCAAAGGGGGAGGCACGGAGATGAGCCAGAGACCCTTCAGAGACACACACTTCTGAGCCACCGAGTAGACCAGGTGAGGGAATGGAGAAAAGGAGGATGGAGCAAAGCCAGTTCTGACAGCCTCCTCCCGAAGCAGTCTCTGTCCAGTGTCTGAGAGATTATTCAAACTGCTTTTAGAAATTAGTTCAGCATGGTGCTGTTGTAAAAGAATAAATTCAAAAGGCTTTTTTTAGAAGAAAATTAATGACTTTAAGAAGAACAAGAGAAATTAAGCACCAAGACAACATTCCCTACTTCCGATTTTCACCAGACACTCATTAGTCTTCCGGAAATGAAACTTGACTTTCTCCCTCCCCCTCCCAAACTCGAAGCATCCTTTAAGATGAGCAGACAGTGAGCATGAGATGCCCAAACCAAACTCTTGGCTGTCAGCCGCTCCCTGGGGCCTCCTCACCTGGGAACCATTTTCTACACAGTGAGATCTGGCTTTCTAAAAAATCCTCTTTGAGGGAGAGGGCTAGTGATTTACTGGAAAGAGAACTAGAAACCTGATTTTAGTCTCGGCTCTGTGCCTGCCTCACTGGGTGACCTTGGGTTACACACATGCACGCAAGCATGCGCGTGCACACACACAGACAGACAGACACACACACACACACACACACACACACGCACTGATGTCTTGGTATCTCATATGCACGCATACAATCTCTCTCTCATTCATCTGGGGGCAAAAAAGGATTTGGACGAGATGATTTCTAGGTCTTCTCCAAGTGACAAACTTAAGAATTTGAAGAAACCCGCTTGAGAAAAATCAGGTGGACCTTTTAAAATTTTCTAATATTACATTAAGTTATCTATTCTGACTTAAGTAAAACCGGAACAAGTCACCTGCAACCAGCAACAATCACCAAAGCATCTGACCCATGACATGGAGCATGACTTTGGAGAAAAATCTAACTGTCTCTGCTACTGATGCTCCTACAAACCCATGCTCCTGCCCAGCCTGGCTGCTGAGACCCGAGTGGCCCACTGAACTTCGTAAGAATCCCCAAACATCTAGTGAGGCGTGGGGGAGCCAGCTCACCTAGGCTGGTGGGGCTCCCAGCCCCCATGCTAGCCTGATGTCTTTCTGATTTTGCCCCACTGGAGGCCACTGCGTTAGAGAGCACCTCCATCCCTCCTCACCTTGCCTTGTCCAGAATAACACAACCTTCCTCAGCTACATCAAGGGGAGGGTGGGGGGCGGTGGTTAGCCTCTGAGCCTCAGTTATTTCTTCTGTAGAATGGTGATCCTATAAAATGGCTCTGTAGTAACCATCTTCACCCCACCCCCATCTCCAGGTCAACAGCAAGACAGGTCTGGCAGGGGTCTGCCTCACACAGCCCCATTCATTCACTGAGCCAACAAGTTCTTCTGGGGAACCTTCTCCCTTCTCCCCAACCTGTCTCCTGCTCCAGCCGAAAGACATGAGCATCTATCACCCACAGCTCCATTCCATGGCTTAGAGATAAAAAGTTGACCAGACAAAGGTCTGGAAGTCTTAAGTAGGGCCCATGAACTACCTGAAACTGTGGACAAAATTTTGTGGCTTACATGTGCATTTTTTTGGAGAGATAGTCCACATTTTCATCAGATTCCCAAAAGTGTCCATGAGGCCATTTTGCTCTTCCCCACCACATACTCTCAGATTTTCAGCTTATAAAACACTTGTAACTTCATCCTTCTGTCTGAGGCACTGTCATCCCATTTTACAGATGAGGATATGGAGGCTAGTGGTGGCATGACTTGCCCAAGGTTACAGCTAATAAGTATAGAAGCAAGACTGAAACCTAATTCTGACTCCCAATCTATCATTGTTTGGAGAACTCTCACCCAAGCCCTAAGCTACCCCCACCTGTTGGTGGATTCGCTTCCTCAGGGGTGAACATGATCAGGAGCCCTCATGCCCTCCTGGCCTGGGCCCCAAAGACCAGGTCTCTCCACACTTCCCAACCCTCAGGCTCTGGCTGAGGTTGCACACAGGCCAGGGAGCCAGAGGCTGGGGTTGCTGGTTGGTGGCTGGATTCAGCCCACACAGAAGGGACAAGAGCATCCGGGGTCAGAGGTAAACTCCGGAGTGCAGGTGTAGAGTTGGTGCCACCCTATGCCTCCCTCCAGGACCAACCGGGAGGAAAGGATAGGCTGTCACCCGGCTGGTCCCCGCAACCCACCCCTGGGGTCCGCTCCAGTCTGATAAGAACCAGGAGTCTGGAGACCCCACTTCTAGAGGAAGCAGAAGAGACACAAATGGGGAGCTCAAGGCCTTGGGCGCGGGGCAGGGGGTCTAGGACAGGGAGCCTCTGGATGCATCCAAGACAAAGATGGAGAAGTAAGGTCTGTGCGCCACCTCCAACGGCGGGGGGCGCGTTGGAACTCCAGGGGTTAAGCGGCCAAAGCCTCGGGGTTTGAAAAGTGGGCACACATAAGGCTCAGGAAAGGTGGGAGGTCCGATTCAGGGACAAGACGGGGGCATCCAGTAGGCACCGGTGAGTGAGAAGGGCTGGGTCCGGGAGACCCGAAGGGCCCACCTGCGGGAAAGGGGTAAATGCAGAGGATCTACGGGTCCCGGGGGGTGGGGGGTGCGGGAGGCTAGAAGACATCGCTTCCTAGAGACTCTGGGGTCCCGTGGGTGGGAAAGAAGACCCTGGGGCGCATCTCCGAGCAGGGTTGGGGGTGGGGAGAAGAGAGAGGCCACCTCTGAGGAAGCACCGGGTCGGGGAGGGGGCCTCGGGATCTGGCTCCCAGGACGGCCCCCGGGGGCGGGGGCAGGAGGCGCACTTACCCGCGTCCTCGTCGTCGAAGGAGTTCATGCACGGGAAGTAGATGGCGAGCGCCTCGAAGGAGGCTGACAGGCTGAGGCGGCTCTGCGAGCGCTCCATGCCGGCGCCGGCGCCGGGCGCCCCGGCCGCGGCCGCGGCGGCGGG